ACAATTTATCCTTGACATTTTAGAATTATCTGAAAATTTATTTACAGATACTATTCATAAAATCATTTGACACGTATTTCAGGATTTTACTTTAAAATTTTTTTTAAAGAAAATATTTACGATTGAAATTTGGATAATTTGCTCAGTTTTGATGGTCTTTCTCTGCATTAATCTTAATATCTCCAGTTGTGGTGAACAGATCAGTATGATTTTTTTTATTGGATTCATTTTGAATTCAACTATCAGTTAATTGAAAAAAAAAATTGTTTTTGCAATTTTTTAACAATAAAAGCAGTCTATTGTTAACATAGGATTTACATACCCTTTCCCCAACTCGAATCGATTGAAAAAAAACTTAAGTTTTCTTTTACTCTCTACTACAAAATCTCTTTATATGATGTTGGAGGCGCAGTAAGATCCAAAGATATTAAATATTTTTGAGCGCTAGCCGCGCTATCCACTAGTTCTGGCAGCTAGTCTTTTCAAAGTTCCACCAATTCCATCGCAAGCGCCCTTACCGTGAGATGTTGGAAAAAATGCCACTCGGCAACAAGACCAAAATCTTTTTCGTGGTAAGTAAGATTAACAATTTTTTTTTTTGTTTTTGTACTGCGCACCCGACCCATCAGAAAAGTATATGATTTTTTTAATTTGTTTCAATTTGTTGTCAGTGCTTAAGAATTCTACCAAATGTTGAAATACATGGACCGCTATAGTGTCGTGGTGCAGACATTCTGAAATTATTACTAAACCTTTTACATGTAACTTACCGTCATTATTTTTGTAATAAATTGCGAATGGGTGCACCGTTGCCTGTTTATTGGAATCCTTAAGCAGCGTCTTGGACAACGAAAGCATAATTTTCAAAAAAATCACAGACTACGATGCACTCACTCTGTTTTAGTTCTTCCTTTTTCTTCATCATAAATTCGTTTTGTTTTTTTTTTACGAGAAATGAATGTAACAGTAACTTTTCTAAACTGGTCTGCAACTTTTGTAAAAACTCATCCATTGGAGATATCATTAATTGTAATGTAGATCTGTCAACATTAGTCCACTACCTGTATCTAATTTCTTCAATGTAGTTTTCGTCAAAAATATTTTCTAATTCACTGATCAAATTTTCTGAACCAGGACACTTGGAGCATTTCCCAAAATAACAATTATCTGTGGGTTGTACACAAGTCATAGTTTTCAAGCAGTCATGATAGGATTTCAATGGATTATTAATGTGGGCAGTAAGATTTTTCATATTAGATCATTGTACCAACAATTTAACAGAATTCATACGGCCTGCAGCACGACAAGTTCTCACATGTTTGCGTTCTGCGCGACTAGCGCTCAAAAATATTTAATATCTTTGGATCTAACTGCGCCTCCAACATCATATAAAGAGATTTTGTATTAGAGAGTAAAGGAAAAATTAAGTTTTTTTTTCAATCGATTCGAGTTGGGGAAAGGGTATGTAAATCCTATGTTAACAATAGACTGCTTTTATTGTTAAAAAATTGCAAAAACAATTTTTTTTTCAATTAACTGAAAGTTGAATTCAAAATGGGTACAATAAAAAAAAACATACTGATCTGTTCACCACAACTGATGGAGATATTAAGATTAATGCAGAGGAAGACCATCAAAACTGAGCAAATTATCCAAATTTCAATCGTAAATTTTTTTTTAAAAAAAAATTTTAAAGCAAAATCCTGAAATACGTGTCAAATGATTTTATGAATAGTATCTGTAAACAAATTTTCAGACAATTCTAAAATGCCATATATTTTTTGTAAAAGAATGATTAGTAAAAGTACGATTTGTAAAAGAATGACCCATACGTACCATAAGACCTTACATTACTTACATTAATAAGATTTACAATGTTTAAAGTTACCTTATATTGTTCAAACAAATGTCCTCGGCATTTTTGACAGGACGGATCAACTGTACTTGAAGAAAAGTTTTCAAAAATATCAAAATTTTCAAGAAAATCTTGATTTTCAAATAAAATTTCTAAACAAAAATCTAATTTTTCCATTCTAAGCTTGAAGAAATTTTAAATTACCACTGGTTTTATTTATAAAATTGAAACTTTAAACTTTTGATTTATAAAATTGAAGCATGTTCTGTATTTAAACGGTAATTAAAATAAAACTACAACTAAGATGGTAACTAAGATAAAAGTAATACATCAAATGATTTTGGGGATGTTGTAAGAGATAAACTAAAATTAGCAAAGCGGATTTGTTGTCGAAAACAAAACCTTTTTTTTCGGGAAGTTAAATTTAGTTTTGTTAAATCGTTGATCGATATTTTGGTATTTTTTAGTGCGAACCTTATTCTTCAAAATGTCCAAGGCGCAAAAGTTCAACGAATTTAGATCCAGAGATTTTGGTGGCTATTGTGCGATAGAAATGAAGCGAAAAACCTCTTTTTT